TGTTTGACTGCCGTCAAGGTGCTCTGGTTCATGTATTATTGTCCATTCATTACCTAAATTTTTTAAGTTGCCATGCTCCCTAGAAAATGGTGATCACCAAAATCTAGGTACATGTTTGCAGATGTACATACATTATACATACCGATGCTGCTTAAATCTTTGTGTTGCTATATTTGAAACTGTTTTAATGCAATAAAGACAAAGGATCGTGTATTTTTTGCCATCTTTTTGAACTTGATGCTTCAAATCCTTCTTTATGGAGCACCGGCAGCCCAGAGTTGTATTAAATAATTTACAAATCGTTTGCAATATTTTACAATTATTTACAACGTAAGTGTAAAAAATGATGAAATATGTGTAAATGTACAACCATGGTATAAACTGTAGGTCTCTTCATTCATGAGAAAACATAAAGACGCAAAACTACAAATTGGAAGGGGAGGTCGGCGGTTACAAAGCACAAATTATATGTGTACATATATAATCTACACTCAACTTATTTGTTTACCGTTTGTTTGCATCTCGCTAACAGCAGAAGGTTTCTATTCGATTGTCTAAATTTTCCGGGAAATATTTGATACTTCCATTTCGTGGGCGATGACCGGCAAAAATTGCATAAAGATTTGGTTTTTATGCGACTCATCAAACTGGTATGCATTCAACAATACAATACTACTCCTGAACGCAATATCATACGGCATCTTGTCATGGATTTGGTGAACTGACTTTCTGATAGGAATGTTACATGCGACAACTTTTTCACATCATATGAATTGGCGGAGGAACTGAATAATAGGACTGAAATTCCTTATGTCTTATGGATATGCGTCGAAAGCCAATCCATTCAACTGAAATTGTGTATGAACACAAATTGCAAGCGGTTCTGTTGGCATATGTTTCTCGCCGTTACCGATTGTTGTAAGCATAAATGAACAGGATGAAAAGAAGAAACCGAACCTTATCGAAGACTACAACAAAACCAAGAGTGGCATGGGTACAATGGATGCAAACGAAAAATCAATCGCAGTATTTTGTAACATGCTCGATGTTAGTGCGTTGAATGCATTTGTTACGTTTACTTCATTGTTTCCGAACTGGAAAAAAATAAATCCAATCACAATATTCGTCATCGAGTTTTCATTGAGGAATTAGGAATGGCTCTTGTGAGACAACACATCACAAAACGTAAAAACCGATGCTGCTGCTATTTGCGATGAAATTTGCCCGATTTGTCGTTTGCCAAATACTACGAAAAGAGGCCGTTGCTACATCTGCATATACTCGTACAAGAAGAATAAAAATGTTTTTACTACACGTTGTGACAAGTGTACCAATTTTGTTTGTGCTGATCATCGTTATAATGTTTGCGAAAATGTGCAAACAAATGAAAAATACCCAAAAAATTAATATTTTTCTATTTTTTATTAGTTTTTTCAAGTGAATCTTTGTCATTTTTTGTTCATTATGATGGAAAACAATCTAATAAATGCGGGCGCATACACAGGGACTGATTCGTTGTAGTTTTCAAGGGACTGATGAGGGTTAAATGTCCGCCTGTAAAGAAGGAATCACAATCATCGGGGTTTGCCTTCCCAATATAAAATCATAACTTCTGCGGCCAAGTTGGCAGGTAAACTAGATAATGCGGACATCAATGGAATGAAAGTTTTGCAGAATAAATACGCACACAATGAAGGATCAACGAATAAGGAAATATCGTACCAAAAAAAATTCTAAAAAATAATTAAAAATTAAATAAATTTTCCAAAAAACATGAATGCCAGTTAATAGCGGCGGATAAACGCATTCCATTTATGCTTTACAAATTTTATATTTTATGTTTATTTTATGTAATTAACAACATAAACAGACTTCACTATTAAATAGTACCTCACAGTGAAAATGAATGCAGTAACAAAAAAATTAATAAATTCATTTTTTGCGGTTGTAACGATGAAAATAGCTATGTATAGAGAAAATACATAGCTATTTTCATCTGATCTAAACAGGATGAATTTACTTTCATTCGCCATAATTACGGTGTTCCAGAAACTTTCATCTTTATATAAATGCTTCTTTGCAAACGTCAGCCTTGCACTTTGATTTTTAGCATTGACATATGGTTTATTTCGAGCTTCTCTGAAAATTCTTCGTTTGGTTTCTGGGCTACAGCTTTTTCCAAGATCTTTTAGCACTTCCTTACCTAAAGCTGGAGCACTTAAATGGGGGTTTTCGCATATTTTCCGTACAGTCTATCGATAATCACTTTCGTTAAATATTTTATGATTTGTCTCGATTTCACCATTTCCTCGATCTGACGCTGGCTTTTGCCAGCTTGTTTGGCGATTCATTTTGATCTACACTCAACCAATGTAAATACTATAATGTCAAAATTATGTCATATTACAGACACCGCCGATAAAGATAAATCTTTGTGCATCATTTTCGCTGTGAGGTACTATTTAATACTGTTGTTTGTTTTTGTTGTTAATTACATAAAATAAACATGAAATATAAAATTTTTAAAGCATCAATGAAATGTGGATAGCTGCGGCTATTAAATGCTATTCATGTTTTTTGGAAAACTTATTTAATTTTTAAATCAAACTTATTATACTATTTCTTACACAGCTGCATCACTTTGGTTGTGAGCTACTGTATATATTCAATATGCGCATATGACAAAATACATATGAATGTACTTGTATACTTACTACAATAACATTTGTACTATAAAATCCCTTCTGGTTATGGTATAAATGCTTGCAATTGAGACCGGGCGATCTAATTCGCACATATGTATGTACCGTCGATCCATCCGCGCTGCTTTTTTTCTTTCTGATTTCTTACAAAACGCACCCATTTGTTGCAAAGTGGCAACGCCTAGCTAGCCAAGGGTTGTTAGTGGGTTTACAAGTAAAACAGAAGCATATAAAAAGTGTAACTTTAAGTGTTTATAACTATTTCACTACAAATTTGTGCGCGATAAAATTATAATTTTTGGTAATTGTAGACCTGCTACTATTAATCCTGAACATTTCATAAAAAACCACAGGCTCCAAACTAAAGTCAACCCGGATGGATTTGATGTTTAGTCGAATGTAAAAGTATATATAAGAAATAGATAAATAAAAGCTGTGTCTTCCTTTATACACATAAAATGGTTTTATTTCAGAAATATTAAAAAGCGCGAAGGGAACGAAAAATCGCGAGTACAAAATAAAGAGGAATAGAGAAAAGCCGTTTGATACCAAACAAGGTTTCAGCCAGAACGATTCCTTATCTTGTGATTTCTTTAAAATAAAATTATAAGAGCTGAACAGAGAAGGAAAAGAGAGTCCAGCTGCTGGCGTACCCCGACGATATTAACATTATCGGCCTCAACAAACGTGCCGTGAATTCTGCTTTCTCCTGACTGGATAAAGCGAAGGATATTGGTCTGGTAATGAACGAGGTCAAAACGAAATATGCCTGTCATCAAACAAACAGTCATCGCATTCACAACTTGGCTCAAACGTTATTGCTGACAGTATAAAGTTCGAGGTCATAGATAATTTCGTCTATCGAGGGACTAGCATCCACACCAATAATAATGTTAGTCTTAATATCCAGCCCAGAATCACTCTTGCCGGCAGGTACTACTTTGGACTGAGTTGGCACTTGAAAAGTAAAGTCCACTCTCGACGAACGAAAGCCAAACTCTACCAGTCGCTTGTCACTTCCATCCTGCTTTATGGTGCGGAGGCATGGGCGATGACTACATCTGATGAGTCGGCGTTAAGAGTTTTCGAGAAAAATGTTTTCCGTAAGATTTATGATCCTTTGCGAGTTGGGAACGTCGAATACCGCAACCGATGAAACGATGAGCTGTATGACATTGACGGCTATAATCGCGTAAGCGGTGTTTATGCCACTAAAAAAGAAACATTTACGACAAGCCTTAGCTGTTACTCAACAACATTAAAATATATTCTTTACCTCTTGACTTGATCCGGTTTTTGTTTAACTGACATACATATGTACCTAAATCGGAGTTTTCGTTGCGTTTCCTAACTCCAAAAGCGTTACACTTAAATAAGAGCGCTAAGGTTTTGCCGTTTTTCTTTTCTATTCAAGTTCAAATTTTTTTCGCATTTGCTATTCCTCTTCGGAGTTTTTCTCCTTTCTTTCACACTTTTATCCGTCGCATCTAACTTCACCATAAATCGCACTGTTAAAATTGATAATTGTATTTGATGAACGTTGACGCCGCGTTAGGATTTTCGACAGTTGCTTAGGCCTTAACGTTCCTATCTAACGCCTTTGTAGGACACCGGTAGCCTTAGCCCACAGACACTGCTCTAATCTAGCATGAATCAACAAACTTTTTGGCGTGTTGCGTGACTTCGTTTTGCTGAGGTGTGCACGGAACAGTGTTCTGCCTTTTTATGCCAAAATCATTTAGAAAGTTTATAAAGTTAATGTTCATATATTCAGGCCATTATCACTGCGCAAACATTTAATTATATTATCGGTTTGTAACTCAACTTAGTATCTGTTAAAAAGTTTAAATTTTTCGAAGACCTCGCATTTCAGAGCTTGAAAGTTTAAGTCACATATCTGCCGTGCCGCTTTTTTAGCATTTGAGTCTATTAGCATATGTACCGCTTTTTTTTCGTAAAAAGGAAAAAACGATTTTCCTTCCGGAATTGCCTTTTTTTTACTTTATTCTCGCAACTTTGCTGCCAAATGTTATAAAATTACCTTTATATATATATATATATATATAATTATATATAATTCTTGACCAGCTAATTTCAAATTTCGCCTATTCTTTCTAGCATCCTTTTCTTAAAATACCCAAAAAAATTATAGATGCTAGAGCTGCGAATTCAACCTTTTTTATTTAATTAATTCGCTTCAGTGTAAAGACGTGTCAAAATGTTTGTTTATGTTTTGTGTTTTTGTTTACATTTTGCTTTTTATTTGCTTACAATTACTTTGAATTTCTAATTGAATAAATTACAATTTTCAAATTAGATCTTTTTTTAATAAAAAAAATGAACCTTTGCTGAGGTGAGTTGATACAGCTATTAATTAACGCACTTAGGCCAATAGGCCCGTTGTGATACCGCTATGAGGTTCTTATCTTCACCTTCCCATTTCCCGTGTCTATTAAAAGCAACGATATGACAAATTTTTGCAGAAGCTAGCTTAGCAAGTCATTCAAAGAATTCGTAGTGTTCAATGGACTCTTTCTATGTGGCCACAGTCATTGGAATAATAGCCTCTTTTTTGCCGTGAAGCCCCATTGAACGGTTATTTTTAAAGGTAATATGTTTCGATTTTTTCGCGTCCAATTTTGGTCATAGCTGACTGGTCACGTTGCATGTGATCTCTTTCAACCATCTTATGTTTTGCATTTTTGGCAAAGGCCAAGCTCAGCATACATATACTTTGCAGTGGCAAAGGTAAACCTTCATCCCTTTTAAGTTCGTCTACCGTAAAATAGCTTGCTTCTTTTTATAGCCACTTTTGATGTGGTACTGTTACTCTGTAGAGATCTGATGGCTATTTAATTATCGGAATATACCGTAACTTATAGTCTTGCTACAGTAGATTTGAACAGTCGCTCGGCGCCTTATATGGTTGGAAAAAGTTCATGATCATGTTTATCGAGGGACCGACGAGGGACGATGAAGGATCTACATCATTCTGGATTTGTGTTTGCCAAAGAAATTTGATAAAGTGGTTAAGTATGCATAAACCATTTTTTGAATAGAAAACAACTTTTATATAATATTGTATTATGGTTAAAAATAATAAATTTTTCCAATACTAACTATGAATAATATTTATAATCAACAACATATGTATGAATATAAACTGCAACTACCAACACAGCCTCAGTTACAAAAACTGCAGGAGTACGGTACTCTAAAAATCTTTGGAATTAGTCTAATGGCGATTGCTTAAAAAATTTAAATTACCAAACTTTGATTTTTGAAGATAACAACACCAAAGTCATCTTTTGTTTTTCTTCTTTTCTGACTTTTGTTTAGAATTATTGATTCAATTCGACAAAAGCGAATTGTAAGAACTCGCCATGATTTTGATATTGTTACACTGAAAACAAAAACAAAATACACGATAATTGTTGTTTTTGTTCTCCTGCTCTCATCTTTATGAAATCGCCTTGCACACGGCAGTAGCAAAAATACAAAAAAAAAAAAGTTCGCAATGTCAAAACCGATTTCTCAAGTATTTTGTTTGTGCGATTTGTTGAAATGGAAGGAAGAACTAGCCATCTATCGAACGGAATATAATTTAGTCAAATTCATTCATTCAGAATATAGAAGTCGACTGTTGCTTTTATCGTCGAAGAGGTTTACAAGGCCATTGGGATATCGCTTCAAAAGATACATATGCTTGTAGCAAGCATCGAACATTTTGAAAGGGTTTCAAAAGATTATTTTCAATTCATTGTTTAAGGAGTATCTACGGAAATTACGTTTGGCTCAGAAACCCAGCAGAGCCAGGAAGCATATACTTTAACTACAAAAGTTACTTTTCAATAGTCCTCTTGACGATTGTCGTGCCACACTATCATTTTTTAATGATCGATGTTGGAGCGTACGGGAAAGACAGCGACGTTGGAGTTTTGGCGAATTGAGCTATTTATGAAAGTATTATTAACGGAAAACTAGCGTTACTAGGTGATAAGCTACTACTCAACGGCGATTTTGAGGCTCCGTTTGTGTTCGTAGGCGATGAAGCATTTCCTTTACGAACATACCGAATGAGACCATTACCTGCAACAAGACATGAAAACAATACCAGTGCCTGACAGTAGAGTGTACATTAATACAATATAAATATGCAACATTGTTTGAATGTAATCCAACATTATTTACAATAAATAATATAAAATAATTCAAGATTGTTTACTTACTTGGAATCCTAACATTTTGAGTAACTTCGTTCCATTCGTTTTCAGCACTTCGCCTGTCTTTGTATCGACAATGGCTCTAATTCCACAAAACAATTCTCTTTTGAAATTCCGAAATTAGCACTTCCATTTTTGCTATGATATTGTACTTCTCGCACGATACTGCTGGCAAAAAAATACACGCATTATGGCAAAATCGTGCTTATATTGGTCATTTACATTTGCAAACACATGTTTAAATTTATAATCTGCCCACATTTAAAACACCGCACCCTAAGGTTTGTGATGCTTTATTTTAGCATAAGTTCTTAACAATGGCCGACGTAGGAGATCAAGTTTTTTGCGCTAATTATTTTTTTTAAACATGATATAACTTATTTTTTGATCTGTTTCATATCTTATCCATTTCACCGAAAATCAACTTTATGTGCAGTTCTTTAGCCTTTTTTATTGGCAATTGTAAGATTTCAGAGAACTTATCCGCCGTCTCCTGTACAATCGATACATCAAAAGCTTCAAAAAAAGTTCTATGCCATTAATGTTATGGAGCATAGTGACTACCGTTTTGATTGGGATGATGATGTGTGGCAGATGGAGTTTATTCTGTTGCTTTCAAATTATTGTTACCACTGAACACATCCATGATTGAAATTGCAGTGTTTGACTGCCGTCAAGGTGCTCTGGTTCATGTATTATTGTCCATTCATTACCTAAATTTTTTAAGTTGCCATGCTCCCTAGAAAATGGTGATCACCAAAATCTAGGTACATGTTTGCAGATGTACATACATTATACATACCGATGCTGCTTAAATCTTTGTGTTGCTATATTTGAAACTGTTTTAATGCAATAAAGACAAAGGATCGTGTATTTTTTGCCATCTTTTTGAACTTGATGCTTCAAATCCTTCTAAATATTTCTTTATGGAGCACCGGCAGCCCAGAGTTGTATTAAATAATTTACAAATCGTTTGCAATATTTTACAATTATTTACAACGTAAGTGTAAAAAATGATGAAATATGTGTAAATGTACAACCATGGTATAAACTGTAGGTCTCTTCATTCATGAGAAAACATAAAGACGCAAAACTACAAATTGGAAGGGGAGGTCGGCGGTTACAAAGCACAAATTATATGTGTACATATATAATCTACACTCAACTTATTTGTTTACCGTTTGTTTGCATCTCGCTAACAGCAGAAGGTTTCTATTCGATTGTCTAAATTTTCCGGGAAATATTTGGTACTCTCTGTTACAAACTTTGAGACTGATATACCAAATACAAAATCTTCCAACAGGAGATGGCAAATAACGATTAACTGCAATTACAACGTCTGCACCATATTCGCAGAAGGATATATGAAAGATCATATCCTTGGCTTTGGTACGCATTCTCCAGATATTTTGATAAAAAGTAGTTAATTTCCTTTTCCTACGTTTATTTATGTTTAAGTTTCGCTGGCTTTGAGTCAGTTTTATGTGTAATGAGTACTATTATTTATTATTAAATACGAGATTCTCTAAAAAATCATTTGCAATTTTCTAGGAAGTTATGCTGACAATTTAAAAGTAAAACTGCCAGATGAATACGATTTGGTCTTTCGCCTCAAATTACCGGAAAATAAGAACATTATTGTAAGGGAGGATAAGAAAATACCAGGGAACGTCATACTCGACTTATCAGAAATTCTTCGAATAATTTCTAATCAAAGACAACATGAATGCACCTATAAATTATTAAAAAAACTAGTAATTGACGGAAAATTTCTCTCAATAAAATTATTGCAAAGCTGGTTAGAAAGCCTTTTTACAAAAGTATTAGCCGATCTTGACAAAAGAATTGTTTATGATAAGAGCATCGAATCAACTTTGTTATATAGAAAACAAGGTCCTGCACATACAATTTTTATAAAAACGCCTTATAAATATTCAGTAGATTTTGTGCCAGCTATCGTGGTGAGCGGTGAGAAGGCAATAGTTCGAAGTGTTACACTAGATTGGGATGCGATTCCCAAACCGGTGAAGACCACACAAAGTGATATATCGTTTCGGGCTTCTTATGATGCTATGGAGAATGAAATTATTAAAGATAAAAACAATTTAAAGAACGCTTTGAGAATTATAAAAAAATTTAGAGACGTACATCAAAATATGAGTAAATTAAAGAGTTACTATATTAAAACTTTATTTTTATGGAGGTCAAAAAGAGAACCACCATCTTTTTGGAACAAGCCGATAAGCGTGATTGTAATTGAAGTAAGTATTTTCATTTAACTGTATTAATTCTTATTGCAGGTATTTAGTTCAAAGTAATGCGAACAATTGCAACCCAATTAAGTTATTCGCGTTTTTAATTGTAATTCCCGCTGCAAATAAATACATGCCGAATTACTTAATTCGCCATACAAATTTTTGAGAGAGAACTAAGCCAAATGTTGGCAATTCATTCTCAATTACCAAGCAAATCACAATATATATTTCCAAACTAATGTAGCCTGTGTCGTTTAAGCTTTGGCTATTAAAAATCCATCTAGCTAGACTGCGGCCGTAGGAACTCGTATTTAAGCTGATTCTTGCTAAGGAATTGACGAATCTGTTATTGCCTAAGGATAAATAGTTCTTAAATAGTTCCCTTTACTGCCCGTATTAAATTAATTCGTGTCGCTAATATTTTTAATTGGGCTGTAAATAATTTTGTTTTGGACTATGTCAGTCTGCACACCAGATATATATTTTCTCTTTTTTCGCTTTCATTGTGTATTTTTGTTATTATTATTTTTGATAACAATGTTTAATGTAAACATTATTTGTTACATACATACATATGTAGAAGTTCTCTTGCAGAATGCACACTAAAAGCAGAGACGAGCTTTTACTATAGATTTTTTAGTTAATTTTGATTGAAACATTTTAATATTTTTGGACATACGTGTATGTATATTGAAAAAGTCTTAGCGGATCTTTTATTGCTAGAGAGCTGAAAGAAAAATATTTATTATCTAACGAATATTTTTTAAACTGACATTTTTATAAGCATAAATAGTTGAACGAAATTAAAGCATACATATACATTATATCCACATTTTTGGGGCTTAATTAATATTTTTAATTTTCTATTTTCCCTTTCAAAATTTCTGGGATATTTTTTATAAACACCCTAAAATTTATAATCCTAAATTACTTCATTTTGAAAATTGTTTATTATATAATAATACAGCATGTGTAATTTGCAAATCGCTCAAATTGAATTTAAGTGTGATGAAATTCAGAATTTTTAACCAGGCTCGATAGTCATAGAACTGAAATTTAATAATATTGTGGTGTAAACATATTTGAAGATGAGCATTTAAAGTGTTTCAGCGTATTTAATACAACGAAATAATAGGAAAAAATATTAGAGAGCTGCCCATTAAGAGATATTCCAGAGGCACTGTAAGTACATATACATACGTATAAAGTTGGTCTACTTCCATAACTGTTAAGCTAAAATTAGCAGCCATGTTAAGGAAGGGGCGTCTCATAGATCCAACGGAAAAGAGTCCCATATAATCAAAACTTCAGTTTTAATAACCAAATCACAAAAGTTATACCCAACTGCAAATGAGAACGTTCGCCCATTTCACATTCTAATGTTGGCAGCAGTGTCTGATCGGGGAACATTCAACAGCTGAAGTGCAAAACTCACCAGCTTTTGTTTCAAAAGAAATTTGCTTCAGCAGGAAATATTAAAGAAATTATTGTAATTTTATTATTAAATCTTAATATAATTAAATATTTGGTTGTTTCCCAATGAACTCTTTAATTAAAGACGTCGATGTTTGTAATAAAATACCTAGAATCCTAAAAATCCAAAGAAGTAATTTTTCTATCATCGTGGCACTGTTCAGAAATGTTATAAAAAATGCTGATTTTTGACCGCTCTCACGAAATAAAGAGTTTCGTATCTAGTCATCTATGCTTAAAGTAAGCGCTTGTAAATTGAATTATAAATTTTGCGCTAACAAATCTCCAATTTGCGGGTCTGCAGCTAACTAATTTCAAAACGGAAATAATATGGAAATTTCGATTTCTGCCACATGCCATGTCGTTGAAATTTGTTCATCGAAAACGTAAACTGAACAGTGAAATTCAGCATATGTATGATCCCGTGATGCGATGAGAATTTAATGCGAAAACGATTTTGTGCTCATGCCTAAATTATTATCATTTGATATTCGAATTGTATGATATTTCACTATTTTTTTTACTTTATGGTTCATATCATGATACAATAATTTAAAGGTAGTTTCATTCTCTCTTCGCAGTCAGCTTTTTAACTAACTGACATTAAACGTGTTCGGTTTTTCGTGCTATACTCCTCTCTTAAGAAAAATCTACCATTTTTAATAAAAAATATGAGGAGAGTTTTCATATATTTGAAATGTTTAAACATTCAAAAATCACGTATTATATTGTATTTTCAAATCCCTAAAGATCCCCGCACAAAAAAATCGAATGGAATAAGATGAGGAGCTGGCTATATAACGTTCGAATACAAATCAGGCTTACAGTTGTAGAGTTGTTTCAAGGACATTTATTAAGCAAATTCGTTATAAAAATCTAATAGGTACGCTAAAAGTCGTTTGGTTCGATTAAACATCCCAAACACTTTTGAATTCAAACTAAAGGCCAAATATATTGATATTAGTCAGCTAATTAAACATAACGCAACCCTGATCTCTTGACAACACCTATGTTCATTCTACGAAGAAGATTCCTCTATTTTGCGAAGTTCAGTAGATTAATGATGCCTCGACATGCAATATATGCTAAGCAATCGAAGAAGAAATTTCCGAGAAATCGATAACGGACCGCAGAGTTTACGGGGTTATGATTATCCCTGTCCGCTCAGCTCATCGACCCCACATAATTTATCTAGCAAATCCTTTTTTACTTTTGCCGCCTATGAAAAACGGCTTAAAACAAATATTATATTTTAATTCATAGCATATGTTTAAAAAATAGTCCCAAAATAGTTAAAAAATTTCCAAGTTGAAAATTATTTATGTGGCAAGATCAAACATTTCTGAGCAACACGTTTAGTGTCAAAATGTGAAACTACTTATAGAATTTTTGTTTAATGCTTCATATCATGTTACAATACAATGCAGTTTCACTCAAAATTTGTTTCAAAAGTATTAACCATCTGACATAAGAAGATCTTTTGACTTTTGCTTTAGTTTGTGCCACCAGTTTCATTTTTTAAACAAATTTTCAACTTTCTAAAATTAAAAAAATATATTTCAAAAAATGCAAAACCTTTCAATGTAAACAAAAAATACGGAAAAATAAAACATACTCACAAAAACTCAAAAGCTTTGGAAATACGTGTAAAATTATTTTTGGGCGGCTTAGCATTTTTTATAAAAATATGTATGCAATACTTTCAAAATGGCAATATCTGGAAGTTAAAATGAAAATAAGATATAATGCCAATTTTATATTGACTGAAAGTACCTTCCTTTTTTGGGGTCATGGTTCTTATACAATATATTCTTTCTACTCTTTCTTACATTTTTTTAAATTGAAAATATATGTATAATAGCATTAAGTACCTGTATTTTCAACCATTTAAATTAAACAATATGTGCGCGATTTCTAATTAAACTATTTTTCTTTAAAGCTCTTCCTAGATCTTAACAGCAGTTTAGAGAAAGGGCACCTACCCTTTTATTGGAATATTCAGTTTAATTTGTATGATCAAATTGGGCAGTCTGCACTGGTTGATATGAGGAGATGTCTTGAAAGTAAAATATTCGCACTTGAAAAATATAAAAAACTGAAAGTAACAACGTTGAACGATGATAATAAAATATTTGAAATGTTTTGTAAGTATGGCAACAATATTTTTTTAGAGAAGTTTCAAATTTTAAATTATTTCGAAATACTATTATCTATAAACCAAGGTTTATAGAATACAACGTTATTATAACCGTCGACGTCGCCAAATCAACTTCGTCATTTGTTCAGCGAGGCTCAATGTCTCCAATATTTATATATTATTAACAAAAAATATTTTCTTAGCAAGTAAATATATTTGCGAACTTATAAAATAAAGATAGGGATAATTTTTTTTTGCGGCTATACCATTAATTTATTGTTATACGTTTTTAGTTAGCTGAAGACCCGGTTTGTTTGTATGACTATCTTTGTTTTACAACAAGACAAATGGTAGAAGTAACAGCTGTTTCGGAGATCAGCACATCTCCTCATCAGACTTATTATCCTGACTTTTTCCTGTACAGTTATCCATTTTGTGGTTTCAAAAGTACAGGGCTGTATTTTGACATATGTCAAAGTTAGCTAAAAATATGTTTTGTTTTAGTTAAAAGTCTGGTGTTAATTAAAATGTAACGCTTAACAACCGCACAACCCGTAAAAATGTTTAAAACATACTGCGAAAATGATAATTCAAATGTGGCCATGCTTAGTGCTTTAAGAGGAAATTATGGTGTACTTAATCGTCTCAACTAGTCAGGCAATTGCTAAACTTTTAAAGAACGTTGAAGAGACTGGATCGGTTACAGATATTATAAGGCCTTTGCATCATCGCAACATGTACGTTTATTTCGTGTTTGAGCAACAAGCAGTGGATAACGATTTTTCGAACAAATTTTTCACTCGGGGGGATACGTAAATAAACAAAATTGGTGCTTATGGGGCTCCTCTTACTTCATTAAAAATGACAACGGTGAGATTGCCCCTGTCACTTCAGAGCGTTATGGCCGTTTAATAATCAACGTTTTTTGGACAGCTATTGAAGAATACGACTTTCCTCACAATTCGAGCGAGTATGGCCGTATTGCGAAAGATTTTTCCCGGCAGTTCTGAGATACCGCCCAATATGTACCTAAAAATGGTCTACAAGTTTGCAAACTGCCTAAAAAAATTATTTTAAATGCATTTTATTTACGATTATTTTCCAAACTTAAAATGGATAACCTTGTATAAAAGATACACTATTGTATATCATCATCTTCTCATCTTTGTTTTAATTTTTTGGAAAATGTTAATATTCACTTATTTTGTTCACAATAACCAATTGAACAGATTTTCGCACCGACAGCAATAATTTCTCAAAGGCTTTTCTATGAAATTGTTGCTGATTAAACTTAAGATTTTCATTTATTCAATTTTACATTTATGTTCTTAACCTTCATTTACTTTAAAACATTACTGAATTTTTTAAATATGGTATCACTTTAATTTATTTCGTTAAAAGTTTCAAATTTTAACGAAGCGTTCATATATGCATTCATATACTTCATTTTAAATTTAGTTTGTACAGAACGTTTGAAGAAAGAAAAACGAAGAGTAAGTCTTTTGAATTGTTAAAATAGTTCTTTATTTAAAATAATTTGATTTTAGATATTAAAACTGTGCTGTTGATTTGAATGTAAAAACTCAATAAACCGCTTGTTTGTAATACTCGTTTATGTTGATATTCTTTCGAACGTTTATTTGCTGCCGCAACAGAAATGCTTCGATCACTCTTAAAAGTAGGGAGGTTGACCTACTGCGACTTTCTGTCGTAATTAACAGAAAAACATACCCAAACAAATTATCTGACTTGATTGACTTTGTGGTCACTAAAAACGTACATAGGAGCTTAGTATTTGCCGAAACATGTGCTGACCTATTTTCTGATCATCCCTCAATAATCATTAAACAACCAATTGAAAGTGAGCGTGCTTTTAGAATTACTACAATCAGCACAAACTGGCTTAAATATAGAATTTAAGCAATCACATAAAGACCAATCCTGAATTAAAGAGAAAACCCGATACTGAAAACGAGTCACTTGTATTTAATAATGTGTCAGCAACAGCAACAACTATAGCAAGAGCAGAGCAGAAAACACAACCAAAACTAGAACAATGATATCGAGTAATGAAATCGAGTTGCTGGTCCGAAATAAACAATATTAACTTAAAATTACAGAAAACAATCTAAAAGAGGTATTACAATGCGAAAAACAACGAAATATGAAAAATTTTATAACGAAACATAGTGCTCCAGTCTTATATCAAAAAAAAAAAGACACCAGGTGGCAATCATATCTCCTAAAATGTTCCAAAATATCCTTAAATACAACTTATCCAAAAAGGAAATTGACTGTAAAAATTATTTAATACATAACAAGGGAATATCCAATCACGGCAGGTGTTCCCTAAGATAGTGTTCTTGGATCTTGGATATGCCTGAAAGTGAAAAAAGTAATAACTTCAACTTCTGTGGATGATACTACTACAATAAGTTGGCACAAATGCCCCATTGCATCCAAAAACGTGTTAGTGCCGAGCCTTGTTATAACTTAAGAAAAGCTAGCAAAGTTGCGCATAAGAGTTAATGAAAGAAGGACTTTTACCAAGGCGAATTTTACAAGGTGGAGTTACTAGGACAGCGAATTTACCTTTTTTTATTTAATTAATTCGCTTCAGTGTAAGGATAGTGAAAATGTTTGTTTATGTTTTGTATGTTTCTTTACATTTTTATTTTTTGTTTCTTTTTTTTATTTTGGATTTCTAATTGTACAGCTGAAATTTTTCAAATAAGATTTATGACTTTTTCCAAATAAAATAATGTGTTCCGATTTTGATTTCATTAATCAGGGATGAACGCAGTTAGGGCAATATGCCCATTGTAATACCGCTAATATTTTATCTTCACTTTCCCAAAACTTCAAACAATTTCGTGTACATTATAAAAGAAACGAGATTGGGAGTTTTCGCTGATGCTAGCTCAGCGTGACAGACGAAAAATTGTTAGTGTTCTATAGAATCTTCTTCTGTGGCAAAAAAGCCCATTTTTCCTGTTTTATGTGATCTCATTCTGCCATCTAGTGTTTGCATTTTTGACAAAGGCAAGTCTTAGCATATTCTTTGCCATGACAAAGGTAAACCTGCATCTTGCATATGCTTTATTTTGGATAGAAGGGCTCCTTCTCTTACTGGTGCGTCTGCCGTGCAATTGCTTGGAGTGTCCGAGCACCCAAACTATGACAGTGTTGCGTTTAGTCGAGAGTTTTCTCTGTTACATTGTAGAGATGTGATGACAGCTTGACTATCGGAATCTATCGTAACTGATATTCCTGCTACCGTAGATTTGATAAAATACTCGGCAGCTTCTATGATTACAAAGAGTTCTGCTTGGAAGATGCTACAGCGCTAATATCATTATTGAGTGCCCGCTTTTTGATCGAGTTTTGTTTGAGCAGTCTGTAAAGATGGGTATGGTTACTTGATCGATGGCGTTTGCTTTCACCAATTCACTCCTGTTTGGGCTTCCTGCCGAAATCATCCGTTGGCTTTTGTTTGTACATAGAAATGGGAGTTCAATTCCAATTTCCACAAAATGAAAGATCTACATCTATCTGGATTCATGCTTGCAACAAAAAGAAAATGTTGAAAGGGGGTTTAGTATGCATATACCATTTTTAAAAAGAAAATTACGTTTATACTGTTTTTAAATTAGCATATCCTTCCAATGTTAACATTGAATAAATAATAATTATAATCAATTATATGATGCACAACTGTTTGTACAGCGTTACAAGAACCATTTTGCACCATTGCAATTATAAAACTTTCTCCAATGCATATTTCGTGTAATGTAACTGAGTCTTATAGCCATTTTCAAAGAAGTTACTAATATATGTTCTATGCCCTTGCTTACTTCCCTTCCAAATACACGTTCTTCAAGAATTCCCTAGCATCCCATAAAATTAAGCTACTTTACTGTTAATGTCATTTGAATTAGCAAACTTTGATTTTTAAGCTAAAGACATTAATTTTAATTTTTATTTTTTACTTTTTCTTCTTGTCTGAATTGTTTTGAATTAATAATTAAATTTGACCTGAGCAAATTGGATGAATTTGTCATGGTAATTGTTGTTTTTGTTCTCCTGCTCTCACCTTTATGAACTCGGCTTGACTATTACATAGAAAACGTGCCTTATTATTAAGCTGAACTATCCTGCAAGCTAACGAAGTCACATATCTTGTCATTCACTTGGATTTGCATCTAAAGCTTAAATTGCCCAGCTTTTATTGGCTTTAAGCAAGAAGAAACGGATTTATGGAATCTAGATATTATAAAAAGATTCCAATCCAAAACGGAATAATAACGGGCGCATCATGGTACAGGCGTAATGAAAATATCTATAGAGATATTTGGCATTCCCTGCCGAGGATCGACTAAATTTAGAAAAATTTATTATTATTTTAAATGAAGCTAAACTGAAATTCGTTGTCAGCTGTGCAACAACAACCGTTATAACCTTGAATAACTTTTTTTGTGGGGGATTTAATTCTTGGCTTCAAACTCACTTTAAATAATGTAATTTCTATGGAAAATGTATCATCTTTAAGGCAAGGCTTAAAATGAATATTATAAATAAAACTGAGGGGGTGCTGCATTGAACATTAACTAAATAACGGACACCCAACTGTAAATTCCTTCAGATTATACATTCATGACTGGTTGAGAATCTTTTATAATATTTTTAGTTCTTAAGTAAATTATGGAGTTCAAAAGCTGTCTTTTTTTGTATTAAGTGCTTATTTGAAGGGTTTTATCCGACTGTTTTAGCAACTACATTTTTATATGTACGATATAATAGATTCGGTTGGCCAATAGATAAAAAAAAGAAAAAAATATGAGAATCAAAAAACTAGCTTCATAAATTCTTTGTACTTTGGGGTCATAAGGTAATCCAGACCTACCAAATGGCTAAACACGCACACGAGATAACCACGATAACCTGACTAAACTGCTTATACCTAAACCTAGCATTAACCATGATACAAAAAACAAGGTAGTTTCACTCAAAATTTTTTTCAAAAATAATAACAATCTGACATAAATATATTTTTTTGACTTTTGCTTTGTTTATGTGTCACCAATGTCATTTTCTAAAAAATTAAATTATATTACAAAAAACGCAAAACCTTTCAATGTAAACAAAAAAAGTAAATAAAAATAAAACGTACCCGGATTTTCTGAAATCTAATGGAAATAAAATTATTTTCAGGCGGCTTAGTATTTTTTATAAGTATATGATATATTTTTAAAGTGGCAATATCTTGAAGTTAAAATGAAAATATATGATACCAAGAAATCTTTTCTGTCAATTTTATATTGAATGAAACTACCTTTCTTTTTAGTACCGTTATACTAACTAAATATATGGTTAAAAAATAATTTTAAATGTTTTGATTCTTTTTTTGCAGTAACAAAGCCAGAATTGATAAAGTTGGGTATAAAGAAAGCCCCTGAGACACCTGAGGTGGAAAAGAGTTCTGAAGCAGAATCGCCAATTTTCAAAAATTGTGTAATATGTTAAATAAATACATGTGTGAGTAAAGAAAAAATAAATAAAACGAAAGGATTCACTGGAATAAAATAATAAATATATGCAAAAACCAAACACGTGACTAATTTTATTGAACTTATACAAAATGATAATCATAAGCCAAAAATCGACTTGTCTTCCGATTATACCCCAGTTACGATTAAATTATTAGAACTTCCAGTTATAGAACAAACTGGCTTGGCAACCACATGCAAGTGGAAACTGAAGTAATATGTAAAATGTATCAACACCAAAATCCGCAGAGGGTTTCCCAAATACAGGCTGCTTTTGTTAACGCAATATGCAAAGCATACATATAAAATATACATATATTATATTAGGTTGTCAAATATATCCCTTCCGCTTTTTAGTGTTTTGAATTTCGTATCTGGAAACACTATACATAATTTGAAAGGTCTTGACATAACCTACAAAACAACGCTATGCATGATTAGTTTGGTTATTGCGTTCAACAGTTATAGACGTGTAAACATGGAGTTCACTAACGCCGAAATTCGCGCTATTTTAAAGTTTTCCTTCCGCTAGAGAAACGTTCCGTGAGATTAATGGTGTTTTGGGGGATGGTGCGGAGCCGGTGAAAACGACACCATGGATAAGCCAGCCGGCGGGAGACCTTTGACGACAAATACCGATCAAATCATGGAATACATCGACTTAGACCGGCATATGGCATCTCGTGACATCGCCTACGAGATGGAAGTTAGTCACCAAACCATCAACGCCTGCGATATCCTGCTGAAACGGAACGAACTCGACCCATTCTTGAAGCGGATGGTGACTGGCGACGAAAAATGGATCACATACGACAATATCAAGCGAAAACGGTCGTGGTCGAAGGCCGGTGAATCGTCCTAAACAGTGGCCAAGCCGGGATTGACGGCCAGGAAGTTTTTGCTGTGTTTTTGGTGTGATTGGAAGGGAATCATCCACTATGAGCTGCTCCCATATGGCCAGACGCTTAATTCTACCATCTGCTGTCCGAATTCTTCGCAAATAAGGAAGGGGGCTTCTACGAGGAAGGTATTATGAAGTTGCCGTCTAGATTGAAACAGATCAGAACAAAACGGCGCATATTTTAACTAAATCCGATCACTGTAACACTTTTTATTAAGCATTGAATGAAGGGCAAAAAAGCGGAAGGGAGATATTTGACAACCTTATATAATATGCGCTTTGTAACCGCTGATGTGATTTTCGGTTAGCTCCTCCTCCAATTTGTAGTTTTGCGTCCTGATGCTTTTCCAACAAATGGCGGTACCTACACCTCCGAACGGCTGATGATTTTTTATGAGGAGCTTTATTGCAAGTCAGAAATACACTCAGAGTTGTTGACATTCTCTGCCGAGAGGCGAACGCAATTAGTAAATTTAAAATAAAATTTTAATTAAACTAATTTTCTATAACCTTTTTAGATTAAAATTGAACCCCAGCTACCCGAATGGCACTACGCAGCGATAACCACTCGGCTTCCGCAAAGCATAAATGCAATGCATAATATTCGTGAACGCCACTGTATTAGTTTAAGTAGTTTATATATAGTAGTTTATATATAAAAAATATTTTGCTTATTAAAATTTTGTTGATATTTCATTTTATTTCAGGACAATGCACAGGGGCATTCATGGACGTCAAATAAATACATTGCATATTTAGTCAAAGCAGGGTTGTAATGCATATTCGCATGGCATGGGCATGAGTATAAAAAATACTTTGCATACACGTATAGCGTTTACGAAAGTAACCACAAAACGAATCACTAACTGCCAAATTAAGCGCCTTATATGCTGCAACTACCCAATTTGCATACCATCCAGCTGTACTAACTTATCTTAGCAGAGCGCCATGTAAATTAAAAACCAGCGGAAATTTGATTTGAAGGTTGCCAATATTGGCTTTTTAAACGAATCTTACATAAACTAAGAAAATGCGCAGTTTTTCAAAAGAAATGAAAGCTGAATTCATAATTAACTTTTTTTGACCATATAGATCATTATATTTGATTGCTGCTTATATTTGAACTTAAATTTAAATTATGAAATTCGTTGAGAAAATTATAAATTGGTTTAAAAGTATTCTAGTACGCTGGTATCTGGCAACATTTCGTCGCTGTTAGCAGCGTCGATAACTCGTGTTGTATATTCCTCTTCAAGTGGGGTAGTACGGTATGTTAAGTGGGAAGTTGCAGCAATAAACGTTAAACTTCTGAGGGTTAAAAAATGTAAAGAAGAGTCGTATTTAAGGAGATTTATCTCTTATATTCTCAAAAATTCGCTATGGGAAGACCGCTTAGGCAGAGAACCAGTTGATGGCCAAGTCCTGAAGAATAAGAAGCAAAATGTTTTGGAAATAGACAACGTCAGGTATTTCAACGAAATTACACGAATCCATCTTTGTATCACTATGTCTTGGGGGTTCTTTCAAAGAATGTACAACCTCGTCTGACATAAAAGTCAATACAAAAACTTTGGTTATAAAAAAGTAGTTACAACGAAATTACAACGCAACTGTTAAGATAGCTACTACATTTTCATCAAGATTTCTTGTCTCAAATATTTAATGCAATCTTTAAGCTTGGTTATTTTTCGAAAGTGTTTCACACATGATATGGCTATAACTTTGCCAACAATTTTTATCAAATATTCGTGCAATATTTTACTAACAGAAGGTTTCGAGTTATAAGTAAAGGAATTTATCTCAGAGGAGAATGAAATAATAGCTGGTGTTCCTCGTTGCCATAGAATACAGCGAAACTCCTGTCGAATCTGAAAATTATACATTCCCTAGCGAACGCTTTATCCTCCTCATCAAGATGAACACTTCACCAAATAAGGCACCTGCTGAGTTTTTTTAAGAGGAACGTTTTTGAAGATGCAGACGATTTCATCTATATTGGAACCAGCTTTAACAGCAACACAAATTCAGCACAAATTAGACCACAAATAGTTTCAAAAAATCGATGTTATTATGCTAATAAGCCGACAGTTACAGAACCAAATACATATTCGATATATTTATCTCTTCAAGACAGCAAACTTACTGGATTACAGTCCTAAGGAAATTTCATCGATTCTTCATCATTCAAAATTTTATGGGTAGTGTTTGTTGATTTATCTAACCAATAATCTTCAAAAGTATTTCTCATTATAATGAATGGATCGAATTGCGTTGATTTATATTTTTAGGTAAATAAAAAAGTCTAAAGCATATCTTTTACTTCAGTTTTTATTAACATTTTTTTTTAATGAACATACTCTGGATGCATATATTTTTCGTTTAACAATTAATTCAGAAAAAAAGAAAAAACATCGCTTATAATCCACCTCCGGATCGATCAACGCTAATTTTTTGTTTAAGTTGAGCAGCCTCGTGTTTTTGTTCCTCTAATTCAGCCATTCTGGCAAATCGGGAATAAGCTACATCTCCTGTTTTTATTGCTGACATCATCTGCAATAAACAATTAAGTCAGAAAAACTTGAAAATTATTACAACAGTAGATTAGTTTTTATTATTACCTGTAAGTATTCATCAAGTTCAACTTGTCCATTCATATTTGTATCAATTTCTCTTAGTATCTCATGAAGTTGTTCTCCTGAAACGTCAGCGTCTCCGAAACTCTGTTAAATTATATGGTAAGTATTAATATAAATATTAAATATTACATAGGCGTATACATATGTACTATACTTAAATTTTAGCATAAAGTGAAATTAAAAAAGATTAATTGACCATGCTCAACTCGAGCCAATTTTCAATATTTTCTAATGAGCTTTCTGATGTGGGTTTTTAGCAAATAAATAATAACTTATAAGTTTGGGTAGACTTTGGATCTAATATTTTTGGATGAGGTTTCGTGATTTTATATAAATTGCTGCGATTCTTTATATTTTACCCAAAGATGGTTATCATCCTACCCCCAAATAATCTTTAGGCGATCTTTCCAACTTAAATGTCAAAATCTCTAAACATTAATTTTTTATATAGAAAGACAAATTATATAAAAGTTATAAATGTACAATGAAAATTGGGAGGGAAGTATTTCATACTTCGCTAGTCTTTTAAATTTTGCTTTTATAGAGTTTGTTCTCAGAATAAAATAACCTTCCCATGCCATAAAAGCTTTGTCAAGTCAAGTATAGTCCGGCAAATCTTCTGAATATGGCTCTTATTCCATACTTAGACAGATTAGGTTTACAGGAATATTCATCAATGACCTTATAAATATAACTCTTTGTTATACGAAACTCTTTATCTCGTGAGAGCGTGGAAAAATGTGCATGTTTATTTCATTTACGGTGAAACTATAGTTGGGTATAATTGAATAAAAACTCTGAGTATAATTTGCTTCGCATACTCTTAAAACCCAATTTTAATAAAAATAATGGGAGTTCTATCCGACTAGGAAATCCTTAACTTAACGGATATTTTTTAACCCACTAATATAGATGTATATATAGATTTTTTTTAATAAAAAGTTACGCCCCACATTAAATGTTAATGTCTACTGTGTACCTATTTTTTTTTTTAAGAAATTAAACCATTTGTGGGCTTGGGTTCTGGGTCTTTCGCCAGTAAAGCTAATTTGAGGCCCAAGGCTAATATATAAGTGAGTAGTGGTAATAGTGCCGTATTAGTAGATTTAAAATAGCTACATATGTATATACTCATATGCATAACTCTTTTATTCATAACACACGTCGACACGATTTTGCAACCAGAAACAGGACTATACTTTTTCGAATGTTTTCCGGTCGTAATCAGCAACCCCAAAAACCTCCGAGGAACAAGGTATGGGTAAATTAAAAAAAAAATTTAAAAATCTTCCACCACATTGGATCCGCCATTTTAAGTGTTTGAAAACTGTCATCGGATTTCATGTCAGCAACACCAAAACTCTCATTAATACTCAAAATTCCAGTACTGGTTCTTACTTTCTTCACTATTTTCAAAGTCTTATTTAGTTTCTACTCGATTTCTGAACATTGACGAATTTAACAAACTCAGTTAATTCAATAGAAAATTTTTCAGAGGCAAAAAAAGAGCTTTTGAAGAGTAGAAGTGGTACTTTCAGGTAGAATAACGATCCAAAAAAAAAATCCAACTTTTATGTTGGAATATCTCAAAAACTTCATGTGCTGGTTCAACATATCAAAAACCTTCGAAAAAGTGTAGTCCTATTCCTGGTTACAAGTTTTAATCAAATTTTGTTGGCCTGTGTAATCCAACTTCAATAAATATATATATATATATATATATTCATATACTCCCAATAGAAAATAACATTATAAAATCGAATTACATTGAAAGCAGTGAAGAATTAGATTCAGGGAACACAAAGTTTTAAAATAGTTTAACGTTTTGAAGGAACTGTAATAAAACCCTTCGGCTTATCTCTTTTTAATAATAATATTTTATTAATGTGAGTAAGTCGCAGAATGTTTATGTAACAAAACTTATAGGCCGTTTCCACAAATCATAAACTCTGTGTTTGCAGTCGATACTGTTTAGTCGCAAACACCACTCTAAAAACCTGTCAAATTCCATATATGTATACTCATAACACAAATTCAATTCAAACTCACTTTTCACAGCGCGTTTTAGTTGAGTTTAAATTTTTTTTACTATTTGCGACTGGCAACAATGACCATTTCACGTAATCTTTTCTGTTTTGATTACATCTCATGTGTGAAGCAACGAGGCCATAAAAGGGGTTGTTTTAACAAATACAAATTGTATGCCTTATTTGTAGTTCCGCTGCACTAGTGCCCACCTCTGATAATGTATACGATAAAGGCTCAGAATTATTGTAAATGTAAACTACTCGTATTAGCATACGTATTTTCTTATATCTTTTAACTGGATAACCTATAGAACTGAAATAATAAGTAATTCTTTTAAAAATTTATGACTAAATTTAGTCAACTTTAGCTTTTTTTTCCTTCTTACTATAAATGGAGTTTGACTTTAATTCTCATTGTGAAAATACATATATATATATACGTATATATGTATATATAGATCATAATTGTAGTTATTCTTAAGGCTTACCTTGAGAGCTCGGCGAATATCGTTAATTGAAACATAACCCTTTTTATCTTTATCAATGAGTTGAAAACGTTTCACATATGTTTGTATTTCGTCTTTGGATAGCTTTATTGGTATTCTTTCCTTTGATGTTCTATTTACCATTTGGCCCATTTCATGAGCCAAGAATTCGTTAGCCAGTTTTATTTGCCTCTGAAAATCAAAAAAAAAAATCTCTTATTAGCTTTTAGTTATGTGGTGTTAATAGCTATCTGGGCTTACCTCCTTTTCATCTTTAGACCAGTGAAGCTCTTCACCCATTAAATCAACAATGACAGGCAATGCTTCTGATGCAGCCTGAACGTTTAAAAACGCTAAACGTAATCGGCGTGCGATCATATCTACGGCGGTGCACGCATACTCTCTAACGCCATATCGTATCTCAGCATCAATGTATGGAAATTCCGGATGAACACGATTTCCGATGATGGGCCATCGTTTTCCCGTTAGTGATGCCATTTTTGATACAGCGAATGCTCTATCTCCATAAGATTTTGCCAAATGTTGAGCTACTTCACATTCCAGACCAAAATCTTGTACTAAGCGAATGTACATAGTAGGAGTCCAACCTTGTCCTCCTTCGATTTTCAAGTAAGATGTTACTGCCTCCGGACGCTCAGGCTTTAGATTGCAAGCTAATAATAATTATGTATTTTTTAAAATCAATCTTTAAGTTATACTTTTCACTTTTTTAACCTTTAATAGCTGCATCGATGGTATGTTCTGCCATAGCTCTGTATGTAGTCCATTTTCCACCAGCAATAGTGACCAAATTAGATGGGCTCACATGAACAATATGATTTCTAGCCAACGATTGTGTGTCCTCCTTATTTGGATCCGATACAAGTGGCCTGATACCACTCCAAGCAGACAAAACGTCCCCACGACGAACCTCAACATCAGTATTTAGGTAATTCTTTATTTCATTTAAAATAAATTGAATTTCATCTTCCGTTGGACTTGGATTGTGAGTAATATCACAAGGAAGATCTGTAGTACCAGCAATTGTCTGCCTCTGCCATGGTAAGAAGAAAATAACACGTCCGTCCGAAGTGGAAGGATCTAAGAGTCCCATTTGATCAGGACTATAATACCCAGGAAGAACAATATGTACACCTGAACTGGGACAGCAAATAGTTTTTACATTCGGATCGTCCATTTTTCGTATAAAATCGGTAAATGGCCCAGTGGCATTGATAATGCATTTTGCTTTTACTGTAAATTCTTTTCCGGTGATGTTGTCTTTGACTTTTGCTCCGCAAAGTACCTTTTTGCCATTCTCATCTTTCTTCAATAATTCTTTAACCTCAACGTGATTGCAAACAGTCGCCCCATGTCGTGCTGCAGTGAGGGCCACCGCTAAACACATTCTCGCGTCATCTTGCTGTCCTATAAATAGAAAAAACTTCTTAAATATGTACATAGTGTACAATGTAACTTACATGCATTCAAGTTAATAGCAAAGAGTGAAATATGCCACGCTTGTAAATCAATAAAAAACACGTCTCTATTGCGATTAATATCTGTCCTGACCGAAAAGGATTATGTACGGCATATGGAAAAAATTTTAGTCGGGCAATCGTGATTTCAAATTATATTTTATTTATTCAGTTTCGATCCAAAAATACCTTTAAACTAAATCCAAAATCCTATCAGGCCTATGAAATAAAAGAGACCTTTTAATTGTTATTGGGGATATCTTTTTCCTCGAAATATCTTCGAAACTAATTGTAATCAAACAGAAACTCAGACATGGCTAATTACATTCAGCTCTTCGTCTCTATAAAATTGGTTCAAATGTTTGTAGGACATTGCCTTTCTTCTGTACTTCCATACAAATTACTAAAGTTGTAAAATAATGATCATGAAAGGTATACTAATTAAGAGAATAAAAACCTTTAATATAGTTATTACAAAATTTCTTAACGTGTTAAAGCAAATTAATATAATATCCAGAAAAGCCGATTCTAAAGAAAGAATGAAACTATCCCTATTTATTGGAATGATGAAAATGTTCTCACAAAAAATCGAAAAGTACTATGTGAACAATCTAAATATTAATATTAAATGACCATATTTTGAGAGTCCGAATCTGGTATCTAAATTAAGATTTTATGCGTGGTCCCGAGACAATATTTTTTTTATTTATACTAATCTGCACATTTTTATATCTCCATACATATACATACCGTCATAATAGACAATGGCTCCACAAAGTTTATCCTTTTTTAACATAGGGAAAAGTTCCAAGGCATCTTTCTTAGAAAGGTAATATGAACTTTTGACATTTCTATCACCCGCAACAAGGTCGTAACACTTAATACCAACCCAATAGTAGGGTACTTGCCACCATCTAAAATAAATCATTATTTATCAAGTTTCTTAATAAGTTTATTATTAATTATATATGTAGATGCTTAATGCATATTATAAGACAATGTAATGCGTTTGGAAGTATGTATATACAATGATTTTCAGACTTTTGTGGGCAAAATTTTAAGCAAAAATAACAGGAGGAGTTTTATTACGCTTTTAATATTTAAAAAATCATACCGTAATCCAAAAATGATGGTATTTCACTAAAACTATCGACATAAATAGATTTTTTGACTTTTGCTTTATGTTCTCACAGAAAAACAATATTATTTTCAGCAGAAAAAAAAACAATATTATTTTCAGCATTTCTAATTTGTATAAAAATATATATACATACATATATGTATTAAATACTCTTAAAATATTGAAGTAAAACTGAAATCAATTTACAATGTCAAAAAATCCTTCCTTTTTTGTATCTTGTATCACACTTAAGAAAGTTAGGGCTATAAAAAAGGTAATAAAATGTTTTTTGCTGTTTATGTACCTAGTTCAAAGTGATTTGCGGTTATAGTTGTAATAAAATAAAAACCGACTTAACCATGAAAATAATAATCATCAGATATAATCATTTAAAACGCTTTATTTTTATGTTGCTATAACAACCCGTTGCCGTAAGTGCTACAATTTGGCAAGATTATCCCGAATAAGAACCACCTTAAATACACTGACGTGAGAAAATGTAACATGAAACTATTTGATCTTGGAGCCGTTATATTCTTTAAGAGCAAAAGATTTTATTTTATTTCTCGCTTTAATTATTTTGACTATTAATGTTTTTGCTCTTGCTGTATGAACATCAAACTGAGGGAAAAGGTACTAACACAATCAACACCTCCCACCCTTACCGTCCGATTGTAAGTTAAAATATTATCAAAAGTAATGCCGTGGCTATACGAGTATATATATATATATATAGCTACTGAAGAGATTTTCGACTGAGCTTGATGTTTTTTCTACATTTAATTCTTTGCTCGTCCAATGGATTTTACGAGAAGCTTTTATTTGATGTTAGAAATACAAACGAAACGACATTCCCATAATCGCTGAAACGAGAAGCCGAGCTTCTCCTCCAACTTGGGGTAATCGAACTGACGTTTTCCAACAAATAAAGGAACCTACACTCGATAGTGATAGCATGGGTACCGCGGAGTAAACTGTGTGTTTTTATGAATCTCTTTAGAAAAAAGATTACAAAATTGTTTATTTATAATTTATTTTAAGATATTAGTCCTGTTCAATGAGTTGATGGTCAGTAACAATTGTCACCAATTTTCATTGAACTGAATTAGAATAGATACTTTGTGCACTGCAAGCAAATTTTGCAATAAAAAATAAAGGGGAAATAGTTACAATAATTGAATTTTGTTTCGTATTTCAGTTGTAGTTCAGAAAGTTACAAATTTCGATCGAAAATATACTTAAAGATAATGATAATTTTCGGCGAAATAAATATGTTTTTAGCGATTATTTACAATGCTTGTGTCTGAGATTTCTAGTGCTGCAATCTATTTAATGTGACTTGTATAAAAACATATAATAAACATTTTCAAGAGTAATTCAAGTTTGAGCGTGATGGGGTTACAAAACGTTAACTTAAATTAATGAAATTAAAAGATTGTTAATTAATTTTTAGGATTGGAATATATATTTGAATTTCGCTTGGATAGTGGGCAAATGGAATAAATAAATACATCATTATCATGTAAAATTACGTGTTCGGTAAGATAAATCTACGAAATAAATAAATGAGTGATTTAAACACAATGTATAAATGAAATGAATTGTTCATATGTTTACATGAATACAACTGATGTATACATACATTAAGGGGTTACATAGGTTTCAAAACTACAAAGAATTTTTTTTTTTTTTTGATAATCTTTTGGATAAAAGTACAAAGTGCTAAGAATATTTTCCCCAAGTTGCACGTCGATCGAGCCGAACTGTAGAAATTAGAGAGTTTTTAACCCTCCATCTTTGTAATGGCTTGACCGATGATAAAAATTTAAACGCATTTTTCTTAAAACCACTTTATCGAAATCGGTAGTCAAAATTTCTCAACGACTATTGAAGCGATCGAGTTTAAATTTTCCTAACTTCTTTCAAGCATGTTTTTGTAGTCCCTGAACGAAAGATTTGTTTTATTTTTGACTCAATTTACAAGCTAATATGACGTTTTTTTTTTTAAATGCAATTTTTATTTATTTTTTTTTTTTAATTTTGAAATTTGGATTAATCAGATAAATATTGAAAAAGTTATCATGACTACCGTGAAAGCACTTTTTTTTGGACGGTCTACTTCACGACACTACCTATTTTTCATTAAAATTTTCATCAAATGGTGTCCCCATATTGTACTTTTATATGTAAACAAAATTGCATACTTTATTTAGTACCTTTTAAAAAAAATAAGAGAAAGTAAGCTTTTTTTGGCCTTCAAGACCTTGTAACCCCTTAAAATGGTTATGGAAAATTGAATTAGTCTGTATTAGCATAGCTCCATATTACTTACTGATATACTGGCAACATTATTGGTAAAGGATGAGCAAGATGTGGGGCTGACTCAAGCATAGATGCTCGTTCTTGCAGAGCTTCTTTTACCATTCTATACTGTTCAAAGTCTAGCTAAAAATGAAATATTCCAAAAAATATGAGTTTGCAATTCAAACTTAGTTTTGTTTGAGACTAATGAAAAAATATATATTTAACTTAAAGAAAGCAATATTAGCAGTGTTTGTCTGCGCAAACACTGTGCTTTGAGTACTTAGAATTCTGATATTTCTATACGCGTTAAACAAAACACGGCCGTTATGAAAATGTGAGATGCGAGTAACTCGGGTTGCTTGACTAATAAAATCGTTTTTTTATTTTATTTTTTATTTAAGCAAATTTATTTTTTTGATGACCTTTCGCCATCTGTCAATAAGTTTAAATATTATAAGCTCAAAGTATTTTTACTAGTGTATCAAAGATCAGAAGCAACTGGCGTGTTATTGGCGATTCGGTTTTCATTGAACAACTATAATAATCTTAAGCTTCAAGTCGGGATTATATGGTGGATGCCACCTTCTCTGAACTCTGTCAATTTCTGCAGAAATAACTATTTAACAATTATGTAAGTATACGATAATGTAGTACATTTGGTATGCATATTCCATTTTGCATATAAGACTTAAATAATTAGCAATAGCATCTCTTATCGGTTGATTCTATTTATCTCTATTTACATAGAAACTGCAATAGTAACTATGAGTTAGATGCTGTGCTAAACTCAAAAAAATTAGACGTCAAGTGTTTCCGTGCTAAAAAATAAATATATACTTTTAAGTACTAATATTCTCTTACCCCAAGAATAGCTTTTTGCAAATAGCGAACACCTCCGTGAATTAGCTTTGTGGACCGCGAAGATGTTCCACTAGCAAAGTCATCCGCTTCCACAAGAGCTGTTTTCAAACCCCTTGTAACTGCATCCAATGCGCAACCAGCCCCTGTTGCACCACCGCCTATTATTAAAACATCATATTCTTCTCCACTTTGAAGACTTTTCATTTGTTCGGGGCGAGGAGGTAGAGTACGCTTTCTCTTCGGTGGCCGTGCGATTTCATTATGGACCTTTACGTACAATATTGTTCGGAATATTTTTTAGTCTTTTTTTTTTGTCTATAGTAAATCTTTTCTTACCACATATGGTGAACTATTTCTGTCGGTGCAAACCCAAGTGGCAGCAAGGGAACCGATACAAGCGCTCAAAGCAGTCACTCCAAATTTATAGAAGCGTGATGTCATGGTTTCTAAAATTCCAATAGAATAATGAACAAAAAATATATAGTATATAATAGAATTAAATATATAAATGTACATAGATAAAATTAATTACGATTATTTAGGTGTTTTTATAACCAATAATTTATTTGTGCATTATGCATGTATTACAAAAGCTAAAGATATATTAAGCTAAACTAAATTCATCTCCAAACATGAGTGTTCATTATGCTTTGGTAAATTTTATATCAATCAACATTGCCCATGCGCATATTGCAGTTGAGCTGATACACAATATGCTTATGTTTTAATATGATGTTTTCCTAAGTTCACACACAGATGTCTCCATTCCCATTTGACATGCTATATTTCTAACAATATCGTTGCAAATATTTAATGGTAAGTCATACATTCGCAATATTATAAATGTTTTTAGTATTATATTTTAAGAAAATGTAAGATTTCAATCTCTCTCCAATTCTAGTAAGAAGCAATTGAGAGATATCATGATTATGATTATCTATAAATAAGAGAAAAGTGGTTTTGAAATGGAAAGTCAATGGCACTACAGCTATGTTTTGCAGTTTTATCATTATTAATAACTGGCATAGTACTGGTACTAATTATTTAATATAACAAGCGTTCATATTATAGCAGAGCAGTTAGTAAAGTTATATTTACTTTTGGACCACAGACAATTTGATGACATAATATCATTATTTATTTTCATATATTTTTGAATCTTTTTTTCAATGCACTTATCGAATCAAAATATATACAGATATACTCACGGTCCCCTGAGACAGTGAACCAAGATGCTTGTAAAATACAATATAAGGTTTCCAAAGAAGGACAACAATTGTTAATATTATCGAACCAACTTCATGACATTTACAGTGGTCGAGTTTTAACATTCAGAAAAATTCGTTGATTTTAATAAATAAATGCTGGAACTTAAAAAACTCAAAAGTAAAAATTTTTAATTAATATGTCTTCTTATACATAAATATGGTAAAATTTACAACAACAAATTTATTACTAAAGAAGTATGTTGCCTCTAATAGCTGTGTTCGTTGAGAAATGTTACTAAAATTTAGTCAGCAACGAAATTGAGAGAGTAAGATGTCTTACTCTCCCACCGAGCAAAATTCATTAAAAATTAGCCAGTTAGGTTAAATTTTAATTCGATCATATTCTTTTGCTGCTTTTAAATATTTCTCTATGTACTTTTTTATTATTTGTTTTGATGATTTATTATATTTCAGCAATAATGAAGTTCTGCATGATTTATAGTCGTCAAACGATAAAAATACCAATATGATTATTCTAATAGTCCTCTAAAAATACGAGGAGTTATTTAGAACTTGCTTTGAAACAATTTGTAGCTTGGATTTTCAGGAAAGATGACTGAAAGACGAAAATGAGTTTGAAATTCTTTTTTCCACGTAAGCCCGCCATATTAACTCAACATTGTTATAGTTTTCTCGATCCTGGTAAATAAAATTCAGCAAAATCTTTATTTACCTATGATCGTCTTATAGAAATCCAAAATAATATAATATAAAAATAATAATATATTCTAATTCTATGCCTTCAACATTCCTAACTTCTAATTTCAGGCGATGATTCCACTCCACTGCCACCACATTCTCATTTAATGAGTAGCTTAAATATTTATTTGAATCGTTTATAGTTTATTTAAGCAAATTTATACATGGTCAATTATTCTGTTACTATATCATTAATTGGTGGTCGCGGTAGCCGATTGGTTAGCAATGCGTACTGCCATTTGGAAGGCTCGGATACGAATCCGAAAACTTATAATTAAAAAATAAATAATTAAGTTACATTTTTTAATTGCAGTCGCTCCTCGGCAAGGAACACCTCCAAATATATTTCTGACATGAGCTTCTCATAAAAAACCATCAGCTATTTGGAGACGGCTTAGTATAAACTATACGCCTTCCATTGGTTGGAAAAATATTAACATGCAAAACCACAAATTGAAGGAGGAGCTCTGCCGAAAATCGCTTCACCGGTTACGAAGTGACATATATATATATATGTATATGTATATGTGTATAGCTGTACCCTGCAACGCTTCGCCGTCGCACATACTAATTGAATGTGTAAAAAATTAATAATGGAATATTGTTTTATCACGACTTCATATATTCTATGCTTGGGGAATACAAAATTTTTGGTTTTACCATTGACATTGGTCCGCTTCCCAGAGAGAAGAATAGCCTGAGCTATTGGATGGGAAAGTCCCTGGAGAGAAGCCACCTGGGTAGGTATTCTAGAACCAATTTGACGTAATATAAAGTCAATCGGTCGCACCTTGGTATGTAAAAAACTCCACAATTCAAAACGATCTCGGGAAATAGAGAAACTGCTTCAAAATTTCTCATTAAGGTTATCTAACCACCCAAACTTTCTAGCTAAAAAGTTATTACAGCAGAACTAACCTAAGCGATTAACAAAAAAGGATTTTCGTTTGAACTGTGAGTAAGGGATCTGCCGCATCCAATTATTCTACATCGAAGTTGAGCTCCGCATATATCCTTTATGATATTATAATTATCCTTTTGTTAAATTTTAAACATGAGTGTTTGGTATCTCTAATGATATCTATATAAACACATTCTTTGATAAATCTAAGTTATATTCGTAATTTATTGTACTTTGCTTACTTTGTTAATCTATACACTGGTAATAATTAACTGGTTCCAGGAATCAGTCGCTTATTTTTGGAGAACACCCGTTACAATCGAACATAGGAGTTTTTTTGAATAGGACAGTCCCGGAGAGAATTTAAGTCTTCCTGTTAATCTAAGCAAAAAGACACCTATGTAAATCGCTCTATAAATAATATTTCATTTTTCTTAATAGATCAGTCCCAATTCTTCTTCCCGGTGTGATGTTATGCAATTCTCAGACCTACTGGATATGCACCAAAAATTTCATTGAAATCGATCAAGCCGTTACGGAGAAGTATCGTGTCTAACACTGTGACACGAGAATTTTATATATTAGATATATGTATGTGTCATTCATATTACTAGGTTAATATTATTTTAATTTTAAATCAATTTTTTTTGTTGACAAAAATTAAACCATATGATCCCAAATCAGCTGATTTGCATACTTGCTAGTTTTTAATGTTTTTATTTACGACCAGAATGTGAGTTAAAGTTACGTGTTATTGGTATACATATACAACATTTTTATTATGTTTAGAATACATTTCTATAAAAAGTATATATTGACGAACATTTTATTTAATTTATTCATAATAATTAGTTAAATTTATTTTAAATTCTTTGGCAACAAAATTGAACCAACTTCGTCAGCAACATATCGCATGAATGATTTTGATTTTGGTTCAGACTTATACTCTATAAATCTTGGAAACATGTAAGTTTTCAAATCGATGAAATGAGAGTTCAACAAAGAATAATTGTCATCTTTCCATTGTTCTTTTTACATTTTGTAACCGACGAAAACAAAGGTTATCAATCAGACGAATCCATTTTATATAAATAACCACGCATAACTCTCTACTTTTTGATTGCATTCTTTTTATTAAATACTATAACTTGAAAGACTAAAATTTATCAAGCGGTAAACTTTTTGTTAAAAAACATGTATTTACGTTGCTATTATCATTGCACCATAACTATGTTGTTAGTTTTGTTGACTATTCTAGTTTATATTATGTTTTACAAGTCAACTCAACTGTTGGTCAGCTGGTTCTTAGCTAAGTTTGTTAAGTTTCTACCTTATCATGCATGATTCACAACACGACAGGGAAATGTTAAACAATAAAAATCGGCAAAGTAAAATTTAAGATGTAATAATTGAGCTATGAGGAGTTATTTGTATCTAACAAAAAATTTACTTCAAGAGAACAACCCTTGATTCACATTTTTTAAGGAAGTTTTTGGCTATAGGAGACTAATTTACTTTATTGCCTCATTCACAAAGATTGTTCTTATTAAGTTGTTTCATTTACCTTTTAATAATCAAGCGAATAATTGAAACAATAATAAATTTACAAATTACATTAATTCAAATCAAGATTTAAATTTAAAAATGTTTCCACTTTCCCTTCTTCTTTTTGTAATAATTTGCAAAATATCTGAGGTTTCTTCAGTACTTACAGCATACTACAAAAATGGGGAATTCAAACGTTGCCAGTTTCCGTGCTTTGAGATGAGATTATCGTCCACATAATCGTCCCATTACTTGTAATTGTCGCATTACATTACAACCAAAAAACGTATTGTCTGGTCCGGAGGTGTGATTGAATCTTACCTCCTTGAAAATGCCTACGCCGAGACTGTCACTGTCAATTATTATCTTTTATTTTTTAAAAATTTGACTTGAACAATATGTGGTTTTAACATAATATGGCTTTATCGCGAGAAAAACTTTCTGGCCGCATAATCTCTCGCCTTGGCCATACCATACGCAAAATACCCTATTTATGCAGATAAGCTCTTGAGCAATATGTGCCAAAAGGTGGCAGAATATTACCTCCAACGGGTAAAATTCCTAATTATGCCATTTGATTGATGTAGTATTTCACAATCCCAAGGAACAAGCTTTATAATAAAAAAGAGGCTTCATGAAAGAAAATATTTCAAATGCAATTTATTTACGTTTATTTTCGAAACGACTAAATTGATACCCCTGAATTTATTCTTCTTCATATTATAGTCCAGTAGAGGAGGTCTTCCTCTTCCTATACTTCCACCAATCGGTTCCGCGTGGAATACTTTTTTAGAGCTGCAGTGATTTCCCCCATTCGGAGGACATGTTCAAGCAAGCGTAGCCGCTGTATTTTTATGTGCTGAACTATGTCAAAGTAGCTGTAAAACGTCTACGTCCCATTGTTCCATCGTCTACAGTATTTTCCGTTGCCAATCCGCAAAACTTTTGTTATTCTTTTGATGAAAGACTTGTAGAGTTTGGTTTTGGTTCCTTGGTGAGAATACTTTAATTTTCAATCTCCTACTAAGTCTAA